CCAGTAGACGAATCCTTGACTTTACCGACACTGTCTTGGGAACCCGCCTTGTGGAACTCGCCTTTGTCGGCCCGGTGGAACCCGCCTTGCTTTGGTTCAGTGCAGCCAACCAGCTGGGAGGATCATTCTGTTGGTTATCCATGTCAGGTACTACAAAAGAGAAATAATAAGAAATTAGTATCAAAGGCAAGACGACCAATATGCAGGTATCAGGTTGCAGGGAACAATCCAAACTTAATTCAGCATCAAGTTCCTCCTGGGACTTGAACAGAAGGGATGCGACACTAGCATGCTTATGCGACAAAAGGTACGTGCTGATGGTAATGGCACTATCAATATCAGAAGAACTAAGCTGGGTACCTTGGAAACGGTAACTGGAAGGAGGAAGCTGATAATGGTCAAAAGACCAGTGCAAAGGGAATTTTCCCTCACCATCCTCGACACGAGAGGTGTCAACAAACCAAACACTCTTGCCGGGATGGGCAGAAACTTTAAAGAACTTGTCTTCAAAAATTTTTAAAGAATCAGTATAAACTTGAAAAAGTTTACGCTTGGGGATACCTCGAATGGTAACCCACCCTTTTCGATCGGCCGGTTCCCGACCGGTCCGAGGGCTAAGCACTTGAAAAAATAAAAAGAATACACATACAGAAGCAGGAATAGCAAGATATGAGCAGAAGCGCTCAAAGGCTTTCATAAAACCCCAACCATTGGGGTGAAGCTGTGTGGGAGCTATTTGAAGGTGATTCAGAAGATCAATATGAAAATCCGTCAAGGGGAAGCAGACGCCGAGTTGCGTCACGACATCTCAGAAAAAGAAAAAGAAATGGGGCTCTCCTGACCTCCCACTAGAGCAGACGGGTTCGTCTTTTTGTGGAGGGATTATGTCGAAATTCTCTAACTCCCCAACCGAAAGGGCCGCAACGTCATCCGAACCCATCTCCGAAATAGTACTCAAAACTTCATAAGTGACCCAGGGAAACTGGGCTATTAAAGAGGGCGAGGGATGTGGGAGATATGACTCGGTATAACTTGACTCTTCTACTACCTCTGGAGGTGGGGATGCCATAAAACCTAAAAACAAGGAAAGGCAGGAATCAGGAAAGAATCAGAATACCTGAGTCACAAAGGCTATCAGAAGAATCATTAGATGATGATGATGACATAGACTTGGCCAAAGATTCATCTCTGTGCACAAATAGATTTATCTCTGTGCCAGCAAGTAGCCAACGTAGACTTGGCCAAAGATTCACAACCTTGCTCGACAAGCTTTGAACTCAAGAAAACACAAGAGTAACAAGGGACACTCCTTGGGATCGAAGAAGGCAATGAAGCTTCGGTATGAGACAAAGATCTCGGATGAATGATAGGTCGGTTAGAAGGCTTAGTTCCGGGTTGGGGAAATGTGTGTGACACACGCCTATTTTCGTTATGACGACCCCTAACCCGGCGAGACGAGCCTCTACCCTGGGGATGACCCAACCCTCTATTAGTCATCCCGCACACTCTACGAGATCTACCACCACGGCAACCTCGAAGCATAGCTTCCTGCTCTTCTCCTTCAGTCCTGGGAATCCCCCAAAGCCATAAGCGGAGTACACATTCGGGCAAAAACCTGAAGAGATACACACGTGAGTTCACCCCGACTACCTGGACGCCCAGGTAGCCGGGCTGATGGGCAACTGTTATGGACCCATATAATGGGCTCATTAAGTGGTAAGCCCAACAATAGGCAATTTAAGATACTGATTGATATTGACAAAGGATAGATATCCATCAAGGATACTAATCCTAATACGACAGCATAGCAAACAGGCTTGGGCCCTCACCAGAGGCACCAAAGGCCCATCCATACTACCCACAGGTAACCTCTATAAATACAAGGTAAACCCTAAAGGTACGATACGCTCTCTCTCTCACTGTTATGTTGTCACTGTGCATACACACACACCCCATTGGCTAACGCCGTTAAAGTATTCTGTGCACAATGATCTGCTTGACTCAAGGGTATCTCATCCATAAATACATTGGAGAGGGCACTAGATCCAAGATAAACATACCAGCCTATTGGGCTGGACATCTCTTTCTCAAGGACAGAACAATTACCAAGTTGATTACTTAATCATTTTCATAAAACATCATTTGTATGTAATTACAATATAAATAGCTATCTACAATGAATAACCTCATATATAAATAAGTGAGTATTTAAGTCACGGATCTACAACACGTAGTCCGGACAATATCCTGTTACAATAATACAACTCCAATCTAAAATAAAACATAGTCAAACAACGTGGCATGGACAACCCCCATGCTCACCAAATAAGGCAACAAGGCCCAACAGAGTCTCACATCAATTAACATGATAATAAATGTAAAGCACGTCAGCATTCAAGCATATCATCAATAACAACACAATCTAACTCAGCTTCGGCCTCCTGCCGCCCGAGGTATCAACCCTCGAGTTACCCGAACCTGAAATATGTGCCCCAAACGTGGGGTGAGATCTCTAAACAGAAATCTCAGTAAGACAAGGGGTCCTCAAGGATTTCTCCACCCCAAGCTCACTTACATGTGCAATATAAGTTCTAAAACAATATACAATATCAGTTCCAAAAACAGTGCAATGCAGCAGATAATCATGTCATGTGTGTCAAAGTATTCTACTGGCCAGAGAAATGCAGGGTTTACATACGTCTATCACCTACATTTAGTGCAAGACGCCACTTGCACCCACCCACAGAATCACAGTATTGTATGACGCCACATACTCAGGCTTACCGTCTAGATGGAACAACACATGCATATTATAAGGCCCTTGCACATAACAACTCAACAACATTTCAAATGAATACATGAAAACACATCATGCATATAAACCATTCCCCCATGGGGTATGGTGGAACCAACAATGGCTAAACCGAGGACACGAAAGCTTACATTGCAAGCTAACTATCCAAGCCAATAGTCCACACAAGCTCAAGGTCACCAAACAGCACTCTCACAGTCTATTTATAACATAAATAATCAATATTATTCAATGTTCAAGGTTCCCTTGAGTGATCAAAGCTTTCCATCTCATTCTAAGCGATTTTAGGCTGATTCTGCAGGAGGTATTCGAATACTCCTCGATGAGTATTCGAATACTCCAATTTTCCAGAAAGTATTTGACTACTTTCACTTAAGTATTCGAATACTACATGGTATTCAAATACTTTCCCAACAGTATTCGAATACTACTCAGTATTCGAATACTACACTATGGTATCCGAATACTTTTCTTCCCAGAAAAGTATCCCAATACTCCTTCAAGGAGTATTCGACTACCAAAGGATAAGTATTCGAATACTGCATGAAAAGTATTCGAATACTTATCAGACATAATGCAGAAACTCGAGCTGTTCATTGCATAATTCCATTTTTAAGTGTTCAAATGCGATTAGGAGTCCAATGACTCCCGAAACAGATGTTCATTAACATATTATGAACTTAGAATCTCAGTCCTTAACTCAAATAGTCCAAGTTTCACTTTTTAAATGATTAAACAAGCTTAAACCAAGAAAATAACAAAGAGGTGATCATGGTATACCTCAAGTACTCAAAACTCTGAAAATGAGACAGATTAGGAGTCCTCTACACAACACAATGGTTCTGACTATGTCAAGCCACGAATTTGGCTTACAAGCTTGGACCTTTCAACATAAAAATGACTTCTTGAAGCCTCCAAAGACAAGGAAATGGCTCTCCCCAAAGATGACCACCAACTGTGCCCACAAACCACCACTCACAGCCACAGCACTCACTACAAGAATAAATGTATTTCGTGGCGGTTAGATTGTCTTTCTGCGTCGGTTCAAACCGCCTCCAAAATCGTTGGGCAGCGGTTATACAACCGTCGTGAAAATAAGCGTCGGCAGGATATCCACGACGGTTGGAATCAACCGCTGGAATAACCGCAGAGAGGTATACAACGACGGTTTGAAAGGCGGGTATGACCGCTACATACCACTGATCAAGTTTCTCTGCAAGACGTATTTCGCGACGGTTGCAAACCGCCTCTAATTTAAAATTATTATTTTTTAAATAAATTTTAATTATTAAAATTTTGAAAATCCAAATTATTTTAATTTGAATAATAGTGATTTATTATTATTTTATTTAAATATTATTTCAAAAAAATTCTAAATTTTAGAAAATTTAAAATTTTTTAATTTGAATAATAGCGATTTATTAATATATTTATTATTTTAATTAAATATTAGTAATTTGAAATAAATTTTTATATATTAAAATGTGGAAAATTCAATTATTTTAATTTGAATAATAGTGATTTATTATAATCTTATTATTATATTTATTATTTTACTAAAATATTATTTCAAAAAATATAGTAATTTTACAAAATATTAAATAAACTTTTATATATTAAATATTTCGAAAATTGTAATTATATTAATGTAAATAATATTGATTTATTATTATTTTTATAATTTTTCTGGTAAATATTATTTTATTAATTTTATTTTTGAAATTAATTTAATGAAGAATAGTTGATTTTCGACATATATAATATTAGTATCATACTGAATTTATTCAAATATTATTTTATTACTTTTATTTTTGAAATTAATTTAATGAAGAATAGTTGATTTTTTACATATATACTATTAATATCATACTGAATTTATTCACATATATCTTAGTGTTATTGTTAGCAATTAAACATCAATTTATGTCATCCAAATATAATTAATTAAAATTGTTAACAAAAAAGGATCTTTTATAAAAATGTCAAAATATCATCCCAAAGTACTGTAACCTAAACCAAAGTAAAGATCACAAAAAGTCTTATAGAATGTCATCCAAAAAAATTGTAATCTAAACTAAAAGTAAAGATCACAGTATATAATCCAAAAGTATTTTAATCTAAACTGATAGTAAAGATCACAAAAAAGTCCAACAAAACATCATCCTAAAGTCTAGAAAACATCCAGAATTCAAATGTCATCCATGAAAAGGTCATCATCAAGTGGAGTTACTAATCCTTCATTTTGTCCATGTGTGGATGGTCTGTGAATATTTGGGTCATAGCTGGCTGATGAAGACCTTCTATTACCGATGGGGGATTCCAAATTTGGAGTCTACAAATGACAAATAAAGACAACATTTTAGTGAAAAAAAACCAAGGCTTTACACAAATAGAATTATAGGTTTCACAATAGAATAAGGTATCACTCTTTTTGTGATACCAAAGATACTAGTCAAACAATCAAATTAGGCTTTACTACAACTACAAGTTAGATATAAGACAGTGAGTTATATAACTTAATATAACTATCATTGGGTTATAAAATATTAAATACCTGATGAGGTTCATTAGGTGCAAGATTAGACGGCATTTGGCCTCCAAAGCTTCGAACCAAGTTTGCAACTGTTTCCTTTAGTGATTCAATCTCAGATTTCAACTCCTTAATTTCATTTGGTGAGGCTGTTGAGCTAGAACCAACAAAACTGGAACCAAGAACTTGGGAAGGACAGACACCAAATCCCATTCCCCGTACACGTCCTGGATGCTCTTTCCCGAAAACATGGACATAAGCTTCTTCCGCAGTCCTTCCATCATTTTGAGCAGCTAATAATTGTTCCTACAAATATTTGCATAGCTCATTCAATTACATACTAACATATCATGAATAATAATCCAAGTAAAAAAGGTGTTTAGACTTACATTTTTGTGTCTAGCCTCTTCATTGACAAGTGTACCATCCTTCTTTTTGTGTGATTCAGCGTACATTTGTGCTCTAGTGATAGGGTGACCCAACTGAATTTCCTAAAAATGATTACAAGAAAAGTAGCAAATGTCATATGAAGACAAAAAGAATGATGACATAATACACATGAATTATAATAAATTAGAATTGTACCATTTCTCTTCTTCTTCTAGCAATTGATTTCGTTCCTAAAGTATGTGGGATTGATTGTTTACCCCTATTTGCAATATTCTTTTCAGCAATTTTCTGTAGTATGCCAAAAAAAAATTAGTAATGAGTTTTATATTTTCATTTTTATTATCATTAACATATGAAGTTACCTTTGTTTCGTCATCCATTTTGTATTGCAAAAAAGAAGCCCACTGTTCTCTTGGAATACCATTTGGGCAACGCTCAACACCTTGTTCAAAGGTCAAGCCACTCCTTTGAAACATGCCCCACAACCTTGCTCGGTTATCTTTCCATTTCTTTCCAACATCCATCATGATCCATTTTTCATGCTCATTAATGCTGACATCAACTGTGTAAAGAAAAATAGAATCAACTGTGTTTTATTTTATTCATTTAAAAATCATTTTTAGTGCATTTTAATTATAATGACTTTATTAAAATTACTTTTTATCCCTTTTATAGTATTTATTTCAAACAAAGAATAGGTTTTATTTTTTAAAAGAAAGAATTTTAAAGTTTTTCTAAGGAAAATAATTCATTTGTATTTTATATTTACATATGAAATACCAATTATTATTAGTTAAGAAACAAAAAACATCAAAAGATATATAATTCAAATATATTATATTTAAATAAAAAATATATTTTGAAAATATTTTGTTAAATTTAATGTATTAATCACAATTAATGTACCAACCACAATTAATGTACCAATCAAAATTGATTGTAATTGGTGCATTAATTATGATCAAAATTGATTGTGATTGATACATTAGCCGGCAATATCAACTCAGGTTTTTTCACCTTTTTGCCCATCATTAATTATTTAATAACCATTTTGCCCCTTATTGTAAAATATCTATTAAGGGGCAAAAGAGTGAAAAAACCACCAACCTCATCCATATATTTGTCTTTTTTTGCTGAACAAAGAATTTGATAATTATGGGAAATATTTGAGCCACTAATTAATGTATGCTCTTTTCTAATACGTGTATTGAAATTTTATAATTGATTAATGTACTAATCACCAATCACAATTTGTGTACCAATGGGATTAACTTTTGGTTGTTTCAATCACAATTAATGTACCAATGAGCAATCACTGCGGAAGATCATAACTTTTGATTTGGATATCCAAAACAGATAATTTTTTATTTTATTTCACTTAAATTTCCAAAATCTACGCAATGACACCTCATTTGGCATATTTTATCCCTCACAATTTTTTTTGAATTTATAAAGAATGGTATCACAAACAATTAATGTACCAATCATCAATCACAATTAATGTACTATTGAAAAAATCAATTGGTGATTGTTACATTAATTATGATTGGTACATTAATTAAATAGCCCTTTTCCTCTGTTTTCTTTTTTTGATTGTGACATCAATTCTGATCGGGCAACATGATTGTGCCACATAGCGCACCAAGTTCTCTATCCTGATAGCAAACTCAGTCCAGTCGTAGCAAAGTTCAATGCGTGGCGGTAAATTTTACTATTTGTGTGGTAGTTTGGTATATAAATGCCAAAAACATGGCACATTAGTCAATGTTCCATGAATTAAGTTTTCATCATTCCAATTGATAGCCCATATATTAGGGCAAGTATAGCACTTATGTAACCATCATTTAAAAAAATGGATATTTAAATTTGATTATGAATCAATTCAAATAGATATAAAAAAAATTATATTTATATAGATTAGTAAAAATCAAAAATTAGATGCTATAAAAATGACGATTTTGTTGATTCATTTTTGATCGAATGGATATATATTATTGAATTAGGACCAATGCTTGAGAATAGAATTAATAATGTGCGCGCATTTATATAGGTATCCAATTTTGTTCATATATCATAATCATATATCTTACGATAAATAACAGAAAATATAATAGATTTCCGAATTTTAAATAGCCGATACATACATATCCTAACTATACTGATTAGAATTTAAACAAAAGTGTGTGATATATATTATTAATAATAGCCTATCACAAAGAATTTAATGGCACAGTGGTTGTTGTTATTTAATTCTTACAATGTATACCGTGTTCAAATCCCGTTATCCACAATTATGTTTAAATATTTTTCACATTTCCCCAAACCGTCGCAGAATGCCATAAACGGTCGTGAATCTCTTTATTCCACGTCAGTTTCAAAATGTCGTGAAATTAAGTATTCTGCGTCGGTTCAAACCGACCTTGAAATATATATTTAGAGGCGGTTACCAACCGCCTCAGAATAACCGTCGTAGAATTATAATATTCAACTACGGTGGAGTCAAACGTCATCATAACCGTCGTCATATTGTATTCTGCGACGGTTTGCCCCTAACCGTCGTGAAACGTCGGTCGCGAAAAACACATTTTCTTGTAGTGACTCAGCACACAACAGCCTCTCACCCACACAATGATAACTCACACCCAGTGATAGTGTTTAGGTGAAGAAACAAAGTAGAAATGTGGTTCCTTGAAGTTTTTCTAAGGAGGAATGAAGGTGACAAATAGAGGAGAAGAGGCTGAAGGCAGTCAGCAGCAAGAGCCTCACGTAGGAAAGAAATTATGGCCTAGGGTTTTGGGCCCAAAGTCTATTTAAAGGTGCAATAAATTAATCACACAATATTAACAATAATAGTTACGCTTAGCATTTTAATCTCAAACTTTAGATTCTGAACCTAGCCATTTTTCTAGGATTTGTCATATTTTTATTTTATTTTTTGCAGCACTTTGTCGGTACGCGCTTTTACGTAGCCGATATCAGTCCTGACGCCAAATCTCATTATTTTGACCTGAAACTTGTTATGATAGTCCTATATATTATTCTAGTAATATATACACACTTTTCATAATTTTCTGGGATACTTCATCGGTACGCATTTATACCGTGGAGCAGAGTCGGTATCTGCATTTTTCGTCAGAAAGGCAACTTTCAACAATAATAATTACTTTCTATAATTATTTAAGTCTTCTCATAATTATTAAAGTCAATTATAGAATTATATCATTTATCTCATAATTATTTAAATCCATTTCCTTAATTAACGGTGCGGGTTCTTACAAGGTTCAAAACAACAACTTATTCGTATTTATTTATTAAAAAACAATATTTTAATTTTTTCCCCTATGTATTTATACAAGACTAATTCCTTTTTTTTATATAGAGCATAAATTTTTCTGCCACGAACCCAAATTGTAATATATAACCAGTAACAACCATGAAAGTAGATTAATCTGAGCTTGTGCAAGTTGATCCAAACACTACACAAAGGTTTGGAGCACATAATGAAGAGGAAAATAAAAAGGGTAAAGTTAATCCATAATTTTAAATAAATTTTAATTTTTTAAAGCTATAATAAAAAATTAAATAGTTTTAGTGGGAATTATAGAAATGAGGTCATGGGATGATATTTATTCCAAGGTTTACGTGAATATACTCAATTCCAATAGTATACGAATGAAGAATCTTGTCACAATCTACTACAATCATATGATATGTTCATCTTTGCATGTTGAAAAAGCATAAATAATTTGTCAACCTCAAATCAATATATTTTTAACATTAACATGACTTGCTTATTATGCTTATTCACATAACACAAATAATTTGGATACTAATTGTTACATTTATCAATTAATAATAATAACAAAACAATTACCCAACACAACATATATAACACCTCCATTAAAAATATGGAAAAACTGTCTATCATTTTAAAGGAGGTAAATTTGTGTCATTTTAAGAGAGAGAAAGAGATAAATAAAAGAGGAAAAGAGAGTGGACAAAAAAATATGAAGGTGTGGATCTCATTTCTTTGTGAGAGTGAAATGACATAAATTGTGTCATTTAAAAGGACAAACACTTTTTTCTAAAAAATATTATTAACCATGAAAATGTGAATCAAATGTTATATTTATGAGTTGACACGTAACATGTCATATATTTATCAATTAATAATAATAACATTTATCATTTTTGCGCTTTGGACACTTTACCACGCGCGCACTTTTTAATAGATAATGTATAATTTCACCGCAAATATTATAATTAAAGATGAATTGGGTCCAAAACCGCTAAAAATGGTATTAAATGTAGTGTAGTGTGGCCCTGCAATGCATAAGCCATAATAAGGTCATAAATTAAAAGTGTATCTGTCCACTTCACTTCCGAAACATAACATATCATTCTCAGTCTCAGATACAAACAATGTTACAATTTTCAAAGAATTTTCATCTAAAATTGGGCGGGAAGGGATTTAATAACACACTCTCATTCGTTCTTCTCTTTCTTCTCTTCTCCACGAAAAACCCTAGCCTAGCCCCCTTCTCTTCTCTTCTCTTCTCTCCGTTCAATCAAATCAACGACTCCCCAACAAAAATGATTACATTTTCGTTAACATCTCTTCCTTCTAAACGATTCATTGAATCTGACTTGAATGTTCTTCTTCAAGTTTTCTTCATGCTTTCTTTCTTTCTTTCTTTCAATCAACAAAAATGGTTACCTTAGGCCGATGCACAACTCACAATAACAATACTGTTTAAGATCTTGTTCAACAATCTGCCAACTACAAGCAGCTCAACTCAAAAAGGGTGCTGACGAAGGAAGGTATTATTATCACTACTTTCGCCTCTGCTTTTAAAAACAAGCATGCATTATAAAAGAGGTTAATAGTTGTTTTAAGTTTAGTGATGATTTTCAGAATAGGAATTTTATCTTTCTTTTTGATTAAATACAGATTAGCCTTATTTTCTTTGTAGAGTGTACACAGCATTGCAGTGACAGAGCATGTGATGTAACATTTGGAGCTACGAAGATTTTGCGGTAAGGATGGTATTTTGGTAAGACTACACTTGTGTGCTAATGAAGGTATTATTATTACTACTTTGCCTCTGCTTTTAAAAAGAAGAATGTATAAAAGAGGTTTTATTTACCATTTTTGTGTTTTGTTTCAGCGACCAAGACATTGAACAGAGGCATTTCTGATGGCAGCTTCCTTTACTTGCTGCTGAGGATAAGGTAACTTCCCCTCCATACCATACCTTTATTTTTTCTTAAATCCTCATTAATAGTGTACGTGTCATGTATTTGTTTGTACTCTATGATTCATTGTATCTGGATTCTTGTGTTTGTAGTGTTAAGTTTGTTGTAACTGCATCTTAGAAGCTCAGTTTCAGTTCGGTCAGTATCACTAAAATTGTCTTAGTGTGTGATACAAGAGGAATTGATACGTGGGTCACTTGAAGGAAGATTGTGAGCAGGCTGAGACTTTAGTTTTAAAGAGAAGAAAATAAATAAAAATATGGATTTG